CAAACGGCGGAGTACGATTGCGCGCAGCGCCAGAATAACAAAGCACACGATTTTAACTATATTCAAAGGTCCGTATGGATTGCGCGTGAAATTGGGTGCGACGTTGTCAAATTTTTTATTAAACAAAAACTAAGTTATACCTACCATAATTATTTTTAATATTTAAATACCTACAGATACAAAACTATGATAATATTATAATACTATAGTATGATTTAAAAAAAATAATCATAAGATTTAGCACTGCGACTCTGCAATTGAAACACGAACACAACTGACATTTAATATAGGTATAGTCGTGTTAGTCACATCATATTGCACATAGTGAAGTGTAGGTATATTCGTTCGAGTGTGGAAATTTACAATAAAGATAATAATTATTCTGATCCACTCATAAAAAGTATGGTTTTAAATATGACCAATTACTTCTTAGTGATGGGAAGTTTGTCTGGTATCGGCTAAAATGAGTAAAAATAATTAACTATGATCTAATACATTATCGTACGGATTTACCATGAGTCTTTATAGGTATTCGGCCATTGTTGCTCAAAAAGTCAAAAGTAAAAATATTATAGCGCGCGCGATCGTATCCCGTCGCCTAGCCCGTATCGCTAATCCCACGTGGGCGGCAGAATCGTAGCCCAAAGCAGGTGGGCATCCCGCCAAAATGGTCGAACTCCGAACACCGTCCGTGCGCTGCAGCTTATAGTCTAGAATCCTCCCTGTCGCCGTCGTCCTGTCCGTTATGTCTTCGGCTCAGGGTGTGGGGAATGTACCTGCGGACGCCAATCCTATCGGATACGACCCAACCCGTTTGGCGCGTTTCTAGGCCATTGCAAATCGTCGACGACGTGGTGTGACTTGCGTTCGGTTCAGTTTACCGATCGCGTTTTTCACGTCTGCGACCTTAGCCCCGGCGCCCGGTCCAGTCGTTGTTGACGTCATTACGATCACCAGAGTCGGTGTGTCCTCTCACCAGTGATTGTTTGTTACTGCACAAAGCCATAGTTTCAATGTTTTCTACGGTTTCATAAACTGCGACAAACCATACTCCGTCGATAAACTGCTCGACCACTGTATCGTGCTCGTTGCGGTGTGCGTATGGTGTTTAACACACCGTCCGGACTCTGAATTATTGTTAACGAACTCGAATGAAATATCGCCCCGACTCCGTGGCCGAAAATTTCGAAAATCTCCCAGACGACTGCGGGTACGGCGCCAAAACATCACGCTTTTTCAACGGACATTTTTCCTCTATTGCCGTATTTACCTATCGCAACAATAATGTATTCGGACTTTCGGAGGAATCACCAATAATATCGTTCTCGCAGTAACGACTAACGACCTATCCGCTATCGTGGCGTCGGCCGTCGACATTATTCATTCGACAAATCGATTAATATTAAATCTAATAATTATCCCACCGTCGTATTCGGTGTGAGTGATATTCGCAGTAATTTTTTCGGGGCAGTACCATTACGTCTAAACTGTGGTAGTACTCCGCGATCCGTATCGATAACGTCATATTCTATTCCGTGGTAGTACTATAGAATTCGGAGTAATCACGTTTCATGCAATAGCTCTGTTGCCGATAAATGTTGGCTACACTGGTTACGCGCCGGAAAGACGCGACTGGCGCCCGGGCGCTACGAGCATACAGCTGCTGCATTTAGTATGAGCCGCGTTTAGTGCGCATTGTCAGTTCGCCGCCAATAGCCAATCGCCGCTGTCTCGATTCTTATTTCCTGGGTCCTCGGCGTTTCTCGTCCTCCGAACTCAGTCTATTTTCACGAGTCACAGCAACTACCCGTTACGTTTCACTCTACGTACGACCAACTGAAGCCGCCTGCGCCCCGTCGTGTGTCGGACTCCGAGGACTTCGCCACCGGCTCATCATCGTGGTACGGACTGCGGAACGCAGTCAGACGACAATTGTTGCCGCCAATTGGTAATAGCCGAAAGCTACGACAATATTATTGTTGTCGATAATCAATCATCCTGCTCTCTAGCGCGCTTGTGTGTGTGTGTGTATTCGTCATTACATCAACACCGTATAGATGCGATGACCTACAGCATACGTGCTTAGCTGTCCAAAATCTCCCAAGTCGATTTCGCGTATCATTCGTACCCTTACTGTTCAGACGTGCACTCTCGCCGTTTGTCTTCCATTGATTGTTATTTATTTTATAGCCCCAAAGATGAAGCTGGTCGACAACGTCGTGCGCAGCTTCAAGGTTGCTAAGGTGTTCCGCGAGAACACCGACAAGATCAACAGCTTTGATTTTTCGCCTGCCGGTGATTACATCATATCATGCAGCGAAGACGACCAGATCGTCATATACGACAGTCAGAAGGGCGAACTGTCAAAGACCATTAACAGCAAGAAATATGGCGTCGATCTCATACATTTTGCGCACACCAAGACGACTGCTATACACAGTTCGACCAAAGTTGACGATACTATCAGGTATATTTCTACGAACTAGACAAATCCCCACAGTTATTTATGCTTTGTATGCTTAAGTTTTCTTTTTGACTAACTCTTTTGCTTTGGTTTAGTGTGTTGGGCAGTGGACATTACTTGACTAGTTTGATATTATAATAATCATCTATGTCATTAGTGACAGGTCTTCTCTGTTATGTTTCAATTTAAAAAATAACTATATATACAGAAGTATATAAATTAATAAATGTGCTGTTAAGAAGTATACACTATCGTAAAAACATAGATTTTGAATGATAGTCAAGTATACTTAACAACTTTACTTTAAAATCAGTAATCTTTTAAAACATAAGTAGTTAATAGTACATTAGAATTCATATTATTAAACTTTATTTTTAACTAAGTAGTAAGTATATTTTAAATTTATTTAGAATTTAAGTACCTATCTAGGTTCATTAGTATAGTATAAATTTCCCAATAAATAATGTAGAATGAGATATTAACGTAAAATGCTGCTGGTTTTAGTTTAGGATGGAAAAAGTAATTCTATAATTTTTATTTATTTGTTGATACTATACAGCAGGGAAGACTAAACTTTTTTTGGCCGCTATCTACTAAAAATATACTTCACCTTTGAGAATCAACTTTGATAAAAAAGTTTTTTTAATTATAAAATTTATACCACCATGATAAATTTTTTTGTGCGTAGCATAAAAATAAATTCTAACATGGTCAACTTTAAAATTGTTTACAATTGATTGGTCGATTGCAATTAACTATTTGGCCACCCCTGCTATTCAATATGTTGCTATGTTTTTACAATACCTATAATTCTTAATCCAAATAAAAAAAAATCCTAATGTAAAGTATTATGAACTACAAAATAATATTTTTCTAATAAAAAATTATTATTATTTTTTGTATTCACAACAAATACCAAAAAAAAAAATCATTCACATCTACGTATTTTACATAAAGTACTATTCTGTTTGCTTTTTTTAAAAGTTGACATATCCATATCATCTATTACTTATGCTTATAAAATGCTGTTATAGTTTATTTATATATTTCTAAAAGCTAATGCCATGTATAATAAAAAGATTAAATTTGTTATAAACCAAAATTATTTAAACTTTGATAATTTAGCACATATTGTGTACTTAAAGAATTTTCTATAAATTAATTAAAAAGATTATTTACATCTCATGTTTTCCTATTATTTTATTTGCCTGGTAATTTGTTTCTTCCCTAATAGGTAGAGTATTGTGAACAGCGGCAAAAATTTACAGTGCTCCTCGTCTCATAAACTTTATACCTATTAGAATCTAAACAATGCTAATAAATCTCATTAACTATTTTTGACTTCCTATTCACTAAAATATATACTTAGGTACCTATATAATATATTAAAAATTAATACAATTTCATAATTTATTTTTATTTATCTTGCATATTTTTTCATTGAACATGAAAATGTTCAGTAAAATGAATTTTTTTCTCTGAACTCTAATCATATTATGTTTACATAATCAATTTAAACACTACTAGACATTAATGTTTGTTAACCATTCTTAAAAGGGTGTCGCCACCGCATATGTTGTCTTCGTCTTACACATGTACAACAGTAAATTTTCGTTCACCAGTCCAGTTTCAATAGTATGCTTTTAGTTTTAAAATTAGAGTGAATTGACTATTATCTAAATATTAGATAAGAATATTATTTGTGTTCTCTGTTGATTTTTTACATTATTTTAATTTATAAGTGAATTTAAAACATTTTCAAATATTTATATTTTTCATACTCATTACTCAATTAAAATTAAAATATAAAAACTAATGAGAGAACACAAATAATATTCTTACCTAAAAGTTTGATAATAGATCAATTCACTGTAATATTAAAACTAAAAGCACAGTACTGAAACTGGTGTACGAAAATTTACTTTGTTGTTCTTGTATGAGACAGAGACAATACATGCGAGTGCAACGTTCTCTTAACTAGTAATTTAGGAGATATTCAATTTATGATAATGTTAGTAGAGAAAAACAATTAATATATTAATATAAATATTTCAAATTAGTTAAGTTACTGTATTTTTTTAATTATCACATTTTAATTTCAGATACTTATCATTGCATGATAATAAGTACATCCGCTACTTTAGTGGACATGGCAAAAAAGTTGTGTCATTGTGTGTGTCCCCTATTGAGGATATGTTTGTATCTGGATCATTGGACAAAAGTCTCAGATTGTGGGATTTGAGGTCGCCAAATTGTCAAGGTTATATCAATGTTATGGGAAGACCAGTGGCAGCTTTTGATCCAGAAGGCTTGGTGTTGGCTGCTGGCATTAATTCTGAAACGCTCAAACTGTTTGATGTTAGGTAAATATAATTTGTATTTATTTTTATTGAATAAAATTAATTACCACCTCTAGCTAATGCTTTTACTTTTAGATCATTTGACAAAGGGCCATTCATTACTGTTAAGCTTCCTCAGGAGAAAGAATGTGACTGGACTGACCTCAAATTTAGTCAGGATGGCCGTACCATACTCATCCCTACTAATGGATCTTTGATTAGATTGATAAATGCATTTAATGGTACACCAATTCAGACATTTACTGGTCACTTGAATAATAAAGGCATTCCAATCGAAGCATCATTCAGTCCAGATTCTCAATACATATTCAGTGGTTCAACTGATGGTCGTATTCATGTATGGAACGCAGTTACTGGCTATAAAGTTTGCGTTCTCAATGGAGATCATCCAGGCCCAGTTCATTGTGTTAAATTTAATCCTAAATTCATGATGATGGCCTCTGCTTGCACAAATATGGCATTTTGGTTACCTACAGTTGATGATAAAGCCAATTAGTCAAATATTAATTTTATGTGTGTGCAACTTACATTACCTAAGTACAAATGTACTTATTTAAGTCAAAACATTTTAATTATTGATTTTCCTATAATTTAATTTATAGACTTTATTAACTTTTATTCAATTATTTTAAAAGAATAAATGTTATTTTTTTTTATATATTTTGTGATCATTTTTTAGTTATAGAGTAAGTGCTCTTTGATGTAAAAGTCAGTTATCATTTTGTTTTATTATTCCTTCCGGTTGAAAACTTGATTGCATTCAACAAATTTTAATTTTTGTATTCCATATACTAAGGTTATTTATTAATTAAGTTATGAAATGGTTAGAATCAATTGATGTTTATTAGTCATGATCTTATATTATATTATTTTATGTGTATTATATTTAATACTAAGATTTTTCCTGTAAATGTTTATTTATTTCTAAATTAACTACTGAGTCACATTGTTACAACAGAGGTATTATTACATTTGATTATTGGATTATTTCGATATTTTATTGAGAAAGGTCAAATCTAATAATATAAAATATAAATGTGTAATAATTTTAATTTCTTTGACAGATATCTTTTTAACTGATGATCTTGAAAAGAATTTGACAGGATTATCAGTAAGCGATTTGACATTCAGCAGTATTGGCTGTATCTTAATACTCGCTTCTTACCAAATTGACATATTTTTAAAACATAATGCTCATTGACATTTATGATCAGTCAGTACCCTAACTAATGGTGCTTTAAAACATTTACATTTATTCCAGACACATTATCTGATCACTTTTAAATGCACAAACCACAAATAAAAAATAATATTATGTTTTGAACAAGTAAAAGTAAAATTTAATACTTACGCAATTAAAAAGTATAATTAACAGACGATTAAAAATTTTAATGTATTATTACATATTATATTATTTTAAATTGATGAATTTCAATAAATAAATAATTGTTGAATTTGTGAATACTTATGGATTTAGATGATGTTATAAGTTGATGTTGAAATAATTAACGTTGGATGATGAAAAGAAAAAAAAGTTGTAAATTCAATTACACTCCACTAGCATTTTTTTTTTTTTTTTTTTTTTTTATAAGATACTATAACAAATTATAAAAGTTTTAACAAGTTCAATGAAAATATATTTTAATGAAACGTCTGCATTTTAAATTATAAATCTTGAATCATACTATTTTTTTTTCTTTATCCGACGCTGCTCAGATTGTTTGAAACTGTAAATAATGTGAACGCCAAATTCTAAATTATATGTTATATTTTATTGTATTTTTTTTTGTTAAGAATACTTAACACGTTGATTTGTTATCTGTCAGGAAATCATATACATCAGAAAAATTAAATTTTTGTCGGCCATTAGGTCAACATTAGATTTTAATTATTAAACTGTAGTCTAACTCTTATCTAAGCTGTCGCGAGTTGTGGTGTTTCGATTATTTCAAAACTCAAATAATACTCCTTCTATAAATCAATCGATGATCGATTATAACATTAATATTCGTTGTGTTGCGAATGCAATACGCATGGCACAGATAACAAATCGATATGTCTTGTCCTCTTAAATAATAAAAGTTACTATTATTTTAATGTACAATTATTATATATTAATTTATAATTATTTATTGAAGAAGTCTAATTATTACAATAACTGATGTTGTATGAAGAAAATATGGAAAATCAGCATTGTAAATTACTGACTTTTGTTAATATTATAGTAATAGTTATAAGCGATTTATGTTTTGATGTTTTAATTTTTTCGTCAATATTATTTATACATTTTTTTTTTTTAAGATTTTACCGCGTATTTATTATCGACAAAGAAAATATCCTTCGTATTAAATTTAATTTTTTTGAATGAAACAAATTTTTTTTTTTAATAATTTTATATGGTATGTTGAATATTAAATTCTGAATAGTTTATCAGTAGCAATAGTACAATATATCATTTTAGGCCTAAATTTTTATAAAATGCTTTTATTTTATATTTAAGTTGATATCAAATATGTATACCGGAATAATATTACCTAATTATTCAAATGGTATGAATGTGTTATTATCTATTTTTGAAAATGTTTTTTTTTTTTTTTTATAATTTAAATTTAAAACCTATATTCTCTTGATGTTGTATAATTTCTATTAATTTAAACAAATTGATCATATCATGTTCTCGACATGGGTATATAAAATCGATTAAAAAAAAAAATTATTCTATTCTATACGAACAAAATAATATCGAACATATTATTTTCTAAAGCTTATAATGTAATAAATCATAATATTCTTTGCTGAACTCGTTCGTTTTAATTTTGATTGTTTTAAATTTAAATTCGTTTCGCGAATAAGCGCGCACCGTTGTGTTGATAACACGCGTTATCCAAGTGGACACTGTGTGTTTTATCATTATAATAAATAATATAATATTATGTATTTACTCTGTCGATGTACCTCTTGAGACTTTTAAAAAAATCCCGCCGGGACGTAATAATGTTAAATGGTTTACTTGATGTCAGATTTGTATTCGCCGAGAGTTTGGAATCTATAAGAACAGGTATATAAATATAATGTTTAGATTAGGCGCCCTTCCAAAACGAGAAACGAGCGAACAGAATATCATTATTGCATATGACATAATATGTGTGACGTAAAATACTGAACCTATTTAATCTAAGATTATGTTTTAAAAACGAATATTGTTGAAATGTATTTATGAAAAATATATTATCGTAATGAAAAAAAAAAAAAAAATGTGTTTTGTTCTTTCTTTTTTAATTAATATTATTATTATTATTCACTCTGACAATTTCTGCCTTCTAGGTGTTGGTTTTGGCGACGAATTTTTCGAAAAGTATGCGAGTCGAGCCGACATTGTGTGAATTTTTAGCTCTTTTTTTTTTTTTTTTTTTACGAGTCGAAAAATCCACACGAACGGCCGTCACATAAAACGCGCGAAATCATAGATGATCTTCTGCCCGTGCCATTTGTCAGAATACTAATCCGGACCAGGCGATTGGCCGACGACGTACTGAAATCAACAGCCGTTCAATTGGCGGCTCGTTTTGTCGTCGTTGCGCGATTGGCGGACCGTTTGTCGCTGTTGCCGATTTCCGCGGGGCGGGGCCAATATTGTTCACGCCCAAAGCGTGGCTCACGAGGTGCGATCTAAAAGCGGCTGTAGCCAAAGACGGACGACGCGTACTGACGGTATGTTTACGAAAAATCAATAAATGGTATTCCATCAGCGGCGTAGCTAGGATTTTTGTTCGGGGGGGGGGGGGGGGGGATCGATTTTTTACATAGGTAGCTGTGTGGTTTACCATTGGGTTCTTCCATAATCCATAATTTGAACGTGCGGCTGATGCTGAAGTTTTATTTTAGATTTTTGTTCCTATAACCCTTAACATATATGTATTGATTTAATATACTTGTATACTTTAAATGCTTTGGATATTTTATCTTAATAGTAATATACAAGCCTGGGTATAAACGAGTTAAAAAGTTAAAGTTAAGTTAATTTTAACTTTTTAACTTAATTGTTTTAAAATTAATTTTTAACTTAACTGATTTTTATTGGTACTAACTTAATAAATAACGAGTTACTTTTAATCATACCCAAATTAAGTTATTTTAAAAATAAATAATAAATATAATACAATTATTGTCAATTATTATTGATTATTTATGATTCTTATTGGATAAACATTTATTAAAATTAGAAATAAAATTGAATTCTTGTTCTATAAATTAAAAAATTATATTTAATTATATTTTATTTTATTTATCTTTTATAGTACCTACTACTTAATTCTTTCCACCTGTATTTTAATTTTCCAAATTTAGTTATTTTATGTATATTAAATCTATTTTTTGGGCTTAATAATGTTTATGAATTTTATAATTTCAAACTATTTTATATATTAAAAAAAAAAATAATAACTTTTTATTTTTTAATTTGCTTTTTATTTAATAATAATTATAGCAAAGCGATTACAATGTCAAAAACAAAAAACAAACATAATATTTACAAACAATATGAATTAAATGATTAAGCCAGCGGTATGAATGAATTGGATAAGAGAACGGATGATTGGGATGAAGCGAGAGTTGAGAAGAAGATTAGAATCGGGAGATATATAGCCAAATGAAGTAATAATAACTTACAACTTAATTGAGTTTAAAAAAAAATTAGATTAACTATTAACTTTTCAAAATGTATTCTATCGATTTAACTTAACTCGGTTAAAAATTATCATTAACTTGCTCAGGCTTGGTAATATACAATAATTTTTAAATTTTCTTAAAATTTCGAGGGGGGCTACAGCCCTCCCCCAGGCTATGCCACTGTATTTTATAGATAATCTTATAGTATTATCTCGTTAATGCTAATGAGTAATGAGTAAGAAGTGTGTAAGGACATGATTTATAGAAAATTTTATTTTTCCTTCGTGCAAATGAAACGTACATAAAAATTAAAAATATATCATTAAACGAATAAATTATTAATGTAGTCGAATTTAAATCGACACGAGTTAACCTTAATAGATCGACGTGAGACTTTTTGTAGCTCATTTTAAGCATGTACACAAACAAATCCAGAGGACGAGACTATAAAAAATTCAAGAAAAAATTGTCTTAAGTTAAACGAGGGACAACTTATCGTATAATGTTAGAATAAAAATATATCGATTGGAAAAACCAGTGAATACATAATTAAATTATAAAGACGAGTGCATATATATTATTGGCTAAATTGTTTGAAATAGAAACAAATAATTTACTATTATTTTATTACTTGCTATTAATTTAAGGCTGATAATAAAACAACAGTAGACATTTTAAAATTTACGAAAATCTAACAAATTATTTTAATTAATAAAAAATATTTTTTATAAGTCATAAATATATTATTATATCAGAATATTAGGTGTAAACATACAACATAAGCAAATATATATAAACATGATTATAAAAATAATTTAATCAATATTAAAATTTATAACATAATAATAATAGGTTAAGTTGAAATAAATGCATTAACAATTACATTTTTAAAAATAAGTTGCACAAATAAAATAATAGGTAGTTAAAATTAGTAATCTTTAAAATAGAGATAATCAAAATTTTTTTAATTAATACATCTCCTATTTTATAGAATTTTATTGATAAGTTTCATTTTTGTTTGGTTTCATTATTCTTCTTTTTATCCTCGCTAAACACGCAACAAAATTAGTTTTATTTAATCATGTAACTTATATATTAATATTATCATTAAATTATTTCACTTACCAAGTATCAAATGTTATAGGGGGTAAATCATTTCTTCCTGCGTTAAAATTACATAACTCTCTTAAAATTTTAATTAGCTTAGTATCAGTTTTAGTAGGTTTTATTATCAATTTTGGATGTTCAGCAGTTCTCATGATTAAATCTTCAATCGCTGGTCGTAAGGCAACAATCGCAGCCGCAACTTTAACATCCATTTTTAGATGTATCCTATAATAGAATGTAAGATTTCAAGACTTAAAATCACAATTTTTAAAAAGTAGTTTTTGATTTTACAAACCATTCATCCAATACAATAGAACCATCGATATAATCAACTTTCTGCGCACCAAACAATAAAATGTGTAAAGGACTTACCATGCTCGAGTTCATACACACAACATTTATCTAAAATTATTTTTTAAAGAATAATTAATGTGAGTTGTATCCAATATTTTTTTGATTATTCAAATATTTATATGTTAACATTTTCAGATAAGTATTTTATTTCCAATGATGGAATCAAAATATAAATTTAAGGAACTCGCGTCGTATGCTATCTACCTGTACTTAGATCGCGTTATATGTTATATACTTTTCGAGTGATATCTTCTTTGTACGGAGACCATGATTAAAGATATTTAATCGTGACAGAGACTAATATTGCAGATATAACCATATAATTATAATCAATAATACACACTATTACCTACACTACACTCTACAGCCTATACTTTACATATCATATTTAGTAGACATATTATGACTTTTAGTTTGGCTCGTAGAAGTGGTGTGTGCTTAAATTATTTTCAAATTAATTTATTTTATTAAATTATTTATATAATTATTTTTTGTTAAATCAAAATGGAACATCAGAGTAAAATATGGCATAAAAACGCGTGGTACCATTAACTTATTGGAACGGCAGTTGATGGAAGAGTGGTGGCGTTCACTCAATGCATCAAAGAATCTTTTTGACCAGTTTTTTGAAAACATGAAAAAAATTTTTTTTATGTAATAATGTCCAGATACCCAGACGACACCTACAATCTATAGATTGCAGGGTGGAAAATTGTAGATAACATACAACGCCAACACACAATTGTGGTAGATACATTTTTCAAATAGATAGCACACGACGCGAGTTCCAGATTTAATATAAATTTGGTTAAGGTTAAAGATTAATTTCTACAGCTTACTTGTTGTTCAAATACAAAATATGGTAACTGAAATTGATTACTTGATCTCACTACAGGGCTATTTACAGAAGATTTACAAACAACAGCAAACTCTTTTGATTTTAAATTTACCTAAATAACACGCATAGTATTAGAAATAGTTGAAATAATTTTTTTTTTTTTTATTTTAACTTGTAAACAATATTAATAATATTTAAAGTTTCATAATTAAGTTTGAAACTTCCACGAAAAATAATTTTTCAGGATTATATAATTTATTATTTTACAATTACCTTACACTTTTCCCTATGAACATAAATATTAGGATAAAATGCCATTACGAGGAGTGCTGAGAGCATATCTAACTGTAAATCATCAGAAATTCCAGTTTTACCAAAATCAAAATATTTTGTTTCAAAACAACGTTTAGGAAAACCAAATTTCAGAAACTTATTGATTATTTGCTCCTAAAAATAAATAGGTATATAATATTAACATACATCCAAGAAAAAAAAAATGTATTAATTCAAATTAAATTACTTTTATATTGTGTGTTGCTTTTAACACAGAAGTAGATAACTCATTTTCTCCATAAGCATCAATACCATCTGTATAATAACCACAATATGTTGATTCACTCTGCATAAATGCATTTAAAAAAGCTAACTGATCTGAACAACGATTGCCAGAATAATAATGCTTTGTAGTATTTTCACCTTAACATTCATTAAAATAAAGTAATATTGTTTTTCTTAAACATGATAAATTGTTTAACATACCATAATCATCCAAGAATAAATCATAATTAATTGAAGAACCAGCGGCTATTATACTCAATGATTCACCAAGCAATAGTATATTGCCCAGAATCATCATTCTTCCAAGCTGTGGTTCTACAGGTAAATCTGCCAAAATAAATCCAAGAGCCGTGAGGTTTCCATTTCTATCAAGACACTTAATTTCTGGAAAAATGACAAAATGAATATTCTAAATTAAAAAAGAAACCATTATATAAATTAATAATTGTATATATATAAATAAATATACTTAACCAATTTAATTTAGTCTACTCTTTTATTTATTATAAATGTCTATTTTCATTAAATATTTAACACATTTACCTTTCAGCATATCAATAACGTGATTAACAGATTTAGCAGGTGGCGCATCTATAGCTTTTTTTAAAAATGAATAAATATCACCCAAATTTAACAATTTTATAGTCAATGCAATTTTATTCAAAGAACAATGGTTTAGTTCTGGCGATATATTATCATCCATTTTATTGTATCGTTCCTAAAAATATATACCATGTTTTACAAGGATTTAAAATAATTGTACAATCATATTATATCTCACATAGAATAATTATACTACAATAAATTAAATCTCCATTAAAAATTTTGTTTAAATTGTAAATTTAAATAAAGGAACATAAATATTACCTTTGTGTATAAATTAAAACAGATACCCTCTTGAACACGACCAGCACGTCCTCTTCTTTGTACCACATTGACTTTGGATGCCCAAACTGTCTCGAATTTAGTTACATTATTAATACATTTTACTATCTTAGATTTTCCATAATCAATAACAAATACAACATCATCAATAGTAATTGATGTTTCAGCAATGTTTGTAGACAAAATAACCTTAAACATATAATCTGGTATAACTAAATTGTATTATTCATAATCTAGTTCAAGTACTCAAAAATAGAAATACAAAAATAAATAATAATAAAAAAATAAATTAAATTTTCTGAAGTAGAACTGACCAAACTTATACCTATATCAACACTTTTTAGAACTGAACTATCAATAAGTTTTACTAATATTGAACATTTTCATACTTTAAAAATATATTAATACAAATATTAAATAGAAATATACCTTAACAGAATAATAATTTGTTTATAACTTTATTTATTAATTATCCAACTCACTTTACGTTTTCCAAGCGGAACAGGCTTAAATACTTTATGTTGTTCTGCGTGAGATAATGATGAATGAAGAAGCAAAATGCAACAATTTTGAGCTAGATCAAATTTTTTTTAATAATTGATTAATTATAAATAAACAAAGTATGTACACAATACATTTAAATAACTGATTGAATAATTGTTTCTTATATTTCTTAATTTTTAGAAATTAACCATTGACAGTCGAATCACTCAAATATAAATGAAAAATATAAAATATGTCAAATAATATATGTTAAAAATTCTCAATTACATTCTATAAGTAGATACTATAAAAAGAAGAGACATTTTTTATTTATAACTATCCAGTTGTACTTATTCAAAAAAAGTTATTTACCAATTATTTCATTCTGTAATAAATAATTATTGAGTTCTGAAATCCAAGCCCATCCAGGTAAAAATATCAAGACAGCACCTATTTTTTTAAAGTTATTTTCAATATATTGCAACAGCAACTAAAATTATAATTGTTATTAATTATTAATCTTTATTAGTTTTAATTAGTTGCTAACAAAATAAATATAAATCTTACTTCAATAATTTTAAAATGTTGACTATCTTCACTGATTTTTGCAACTACTTCTCTAACTGCTCTAGGATAATTATCAGAAACTAATAAATTACAATTAACTAGGTTTTCTTTTTTTATTTTTTTTTTATTCTTGATTTCTTCTAAGGATGGTTTATAGTTTAACATTTGAACAATATCTTCTAAGAAAAAATCTACATCCAAACAAAAAAAAATTTAAATAAGTATTGAAAAGTTTTAAAAATCACTGTCGACTTTAATGTTTTGATAGCCATAAATAACTAAAATAACAAATTTTGATAATTAAAAATGTTAAAGGAACATATTTGAAATAATTGTTCTTTTCTTAAAAAGTTATTTTTCATGAAATATAAACTATTTTTTACAATTGTAAATTTAACATTGTATATTTTTGTATCTAAAATAACTTTAATATACATTTTGTATAAAAATTAATAAATAAAAAACTATTTTTTTTTATACATTTCTGAAATTTAGTGGCTATTTTTAATCAGTCAAATAATTGTATTATGAGTTATGGACAATACGTTCAGAATAATATAAATAGCAAATAAACAATAATATATTTCAAAAGTTGTGGGAAAAATGGCTCGTACCTAATAAAAAGACCATTAATAACTACAACAAATATAGTTTGAATCTATGATTGCAGAAACGACATGAGTCAATTTTTTAAAACTTTTGGATAATTGATAAAAAATGTATAATTTAATTAATTCTGAAAAAATTCTTATTTAAAAATGAATACTTGTAGAAATATATTGTGCACTGATTATACATAATTTGTGTGTTTAAATAAATATGATGTTTTTTTATTATTAACTTTTAAAGTTTTCTGACTCATGACATTTCACAAAAAATATAACTCATGTCGTTTTTGCAATCATTGATTCATTTAATACATAACCATAACCTTTTACGGGATAGCAATTTCCTTCCACATCAATAATTGGACAGTTGTTGAAATATTTACTGAATATATCTAAATTAGCATTTGCAGACATGAGAATAACTTTAAGATCTTGATATTTTTGGACCATGTCCTTCAAAATTATTAACAAGAGTTCACAGCTAGCATGGCGTTCATGTATCTCATCCACAATAATGTGTGATATTCCAAACAAACCACTCTTTAATTTCCGGATCAAAATTTCTAAAGATGGAAAAACAAATTTACTTTTAAACTTAATTTCATACTTATATTCAATTATACAATACATTTTAAATTAAAAAACAAAATTTAATTTATGAAGAAAGTTTAAAAAAAAAATTAAATTGAGTAAGTGCTTAAATATATTTAAGTTAATATTTTAAAAATTAGTGTTGATATCAACATTATAAAACACATAATATGACTTAAAAAAATTACCAACTGTACAAAATAGAATTGCTCCAAAAGACTGTGGTACTATACTATCAAATCTAACTGTATATCCAACACTTTTCCCAATAACTTCAGCTCTTTCAGAACTCACTCGATTTGCAATAGAGATTGCTGATACCTTTTTTGGTTGAGTGCAGATAATATTACAATATGCTCCTTTATTTTGGTGAATAAATTCATCAAGTATGAATTGACAAACCTACATTTTTGTAACAATTATTTTAAAATGATATTAAAAATTTGAAAACATTAAGTTAACTGACCTGAGTGGTTTTTCCACAACCAGTACCACCATGTACAATAAATACAGAGTTGTCTCTAATTATATCCAAAATAGCATCCTTTTTTTTAAATATTGGTAAATTAGATCGGTCTTTTATTTTTTTTTGAAATTTAAGTGAATGTTTTTTCTCATTAAATTTTTTTTTCATCTTAGTACTTATCTCAGATAAAGATTTCTATGAATATAAAAATTAAAATGTTACTAAATAACACATTAAAAATACTTTTAGTATATTTATCAAACATTTAAAAAATATCAAGAACAAAATAGCAGAATTAACAGCACTTACAGGATTACAAATCTTAACAGCTAACCACGGATTCCAGTTTGATGAAGGAGGGCACCATAGTATCACTTTAGAAGCATTAAATTGATTTAATGATTCATAAGGTTCAATAACTTTGTCAAGAAGCAATGTTGTATTATTTAAAATATCAGCACAATCCTAATATAATTAATAATTAATAAATATTGTAAAATATATTAAATTTGGATAAAATTAAAATTTAATAATTATATACTTGGTATTTATCAATCATTGGTTTAATATTAAGATCTTCCAATAAATTATATATATCCTTCACCAGTTTTTCATTAACATTGACAACATCAAAAAAATTATAGATATAATTCAATCTATCTTTTTTCACACAATCACTTGAGTAACGTTCAATTAGCCCTAATGTACATAGATTATTGACTAAAGTAAGTTCGCATTGTTGTATTACTTTTTTCTTTGATTTTCCAGTTTCTCTTGTAGAAATGGCTAAATTTAAAAATGAATTGATGAAACAATATATCTTAAGTATATTTTAATTGTTCTTTTTTTACTTTTATTCAGTTCTTCAATAAATATTGACATACAAACAACAAAATTCCTAAAACAAATTAATATATGATCAAACATTTATACATAAAAAAGCAAAATTAGTTGTAATTTACCTTTTAGTAGTTTCAATATTTATCTTAAAATTTGCTTTATCATTAGATTTAACAAATTCTTTTAATCTCTTATAAGCAGTATCGATTGTCCAATTACCACTATCAACTGGTTTCAAACTATTTAGCTATGAAGAAAGCATGTTTTGAAATTTGAAATCAAATAACTATGTTTAATATTTTTATATTTACTAACCTTTTTAATTTTAGCTGAATCTATTACAGAGTTATCATTCTTTACTTTATTTTTTTCCTAATTAAATAAATATATATATATCAGTAAATAAAAACAAAATTAATTTAAATGACAAATAAAAAACTATTATTTTTAATACCTTTGATTTAGCTGGTATTTTATTTCGATGTGCTAAATATAATATGATATCTTCTAATGCTTTGTTTCGAGCAATTTCTTCAGTTTTTGCATTTCCAATACCTATGTAGGTATAATTTGGTACTCTTATTTCAAATTTTACATTTTGATCTTGTATACCTGATGAAGCAATAAGTATTTAAAAATTTATCAAAAATGTTTAATATTTAATTTAATTTTTAGTTATTTAAAAAAACTTTTAATCAATATTATAAATTATATTGAAGTTAACTACCTATCCATAAATTAAAAAATATAAATTAAAGTTATAAAATTAAATAAAGTAGATACTATCTATAACTATTTTTTATTTCTTAAATTCACTTTTTAAAATATTAAAACATAACCCTGCAAGATTTGACAATTTTACATTGAAATTACATTTTAATATGATATATGTAAGGGTAAATTAGCTAAACTTTGATTTTTAGTACAATAAACAATGTGGTTAAAGTCAAAGTAGTAATGCTACTGCAGTCTCCACTTCAAATATAATATCACATAGAAAATAGAGGTCTAAAATTTAGAGTCTTAAATGGATATTGATGGAATCATTTTTATTTACATTAGGAAATTAATTTCATTTGGCCACTGCTACGTGCTCTGATATTCTATAAAAATTTAACAAGATACTACGACATAGACAACATATTCCAGTATATAACAAAAAGGAAGAGGGTACAACAATATTGAACATAATTACGAAGTAGATTTGATATAACTTGCTATGGTCATCAGACATGGACCATAACTAATTTAAGTTGCAACTATAGTTTTAAATATAACACTTTAATACAGAGGTAACGTGTTAAGCATTAAGTACAAGAAACTATGTAGTAGTTGTAATTAGATAAATAAAGCTGCATATGACACTATCTAAAAGATTTGGGCATAAGAGACAAGTCATACAGACACCATTAGATAATAGAATCATTGTACATACACATGAATCTAACCAAGGGCATGTGAATCGTGGGAACACTATGGTGTGCATATCTTGATCAAAAAGGATATGATCAAGAATAGTGAGAAAATGATCAATAAGAGAGCTTAAGACTTGATCAGATGTGATTTACAAGTTATAGAACAAACACCTTCATGCTAATCTATATTAGGATTTGATAATTTGTGCCACATAAGTATTGCGTAAGTTGTTCCCGCGGAATCATCGGTTAAAACTGAAAAAAAAGAATTTAGTCATTTAGACTTAGAATTATTTTCAATAAAAAGCACTTAAAAGAATTAATGACTATTTGTTTCACCACAACTACTGCAAAGAGTTCCATTTTTAATTGTTTATATATGGCCCACTATACCACTATACAACTTTAAAAATATTGGTGATTTGGTTTTTTATAATGTTATATGGTTTATTTTTTTAATTGTCTTTTTTTTTTATAATTTAAATACAAGTTACAACTGTATTCTCAATGAGATTGTTGGCTTGAGTTTTTTCCTTGTTAAATTTATCTTTTAGGGAGTAGGGATCATGGGCTTACATTTTCATATTCAAAAAATTCTAACTTGACTTTTTCAGTTAAAGTTAAACGTTTTCATTTAGTCACCATATAGCATTCACTTTGAATTTTGAAAATCTTTCAAATTTAGAACACATTTATCAAAGCTATTATTTAAAATATTCACTTTAAAAAGGAATCCATGTATTTTTCTAATAAAACTTGATCTTGACAATATCGAAAGAAAATATCAATTCAATCATACAAAAAAAGACTGTTAACAAAAGTCGTACAGTACTTACCTATTAAACAAACCATCTTTATATATTAATCAACATTATACTTATTAAAAATAATAATAATAATAATAATAATAATATAGTATAAGTTGCGGAATACCGGTTATTTTGTACTGTGGTTTCAAGTTGTTTTTTGAACACCATTTCATAAAGATATCATACGGCTTGTCTACTGTCGAAGACTGAGCAGACGTAGTATTTCCAGTGGATAGTTTGGCCATGGCAGATTGTAAGCTCTTCATATTGTAGGTACAATAGGTATTCGGTTGAAAATAAAAATCCGCAATCGAACCAATGAACGATACTGAAATAAACCGATCGCGATATGAAACGATGAAACTAATATATTATTATAATGGAAATATTTTACAAATAGCGTATTTCTTTTGATCCGTAGACCGAACGACCGAAGACGACAAATCGGTCGCAATACGTCACACCAAGGGGTAACGTAATAACGTGTTTTAGCTTTTAGGTATTAAACTAAGGCAGTAAGCCAGTAAAATCACCATAGAGATTTACGCACAAAACGAATACATTGCAACATTTTTCGAACTAAATATAATAATAATATGATATAAACACGTCATACAAGTACCAACGTACTGATGTAAATTGTAAATTACTAATTAGTGATTTCCGCGCAAAATGTAAATAATATTATGTAATAATAAGTATTTATAGTTAATTATTTTGTCATTAGAGTTAGGGAGACGAATGACGGTGTTAAGAAAAAATAATGATTTTAAAATGGCAAAAAAAAAAAACAACTGAAATAAAAGCGATGCCGCGTTTGTGGTTTGTAGGTTGTCGCCTAACACCGATGTCTGTAAAACGATTGAAACGTAAATATTATGTAAATATTTATATTTATACAATACAATAATACGCAACACAGTTAATGTCGGATACCAAATTTAATTATTATTACTAAAACTAAATTATTTGGAGAAACACAGGAAACGCGTAATATACGGGTTACGACTTACGGATGTTTAACGTTTAACTGGTGTTTTGAACAATAGTCTGTGTCAATAAAAAATTCTACAATAATATTATTATTATTATTATAACTGCTCGACGTTTTGTCTCCAAATCCGATAAGAAATAATAAATAATTATTAAATAATTGAAGTCAAACGAACGGCGGCAACGATCGCTGACGCTGCGAATAATTTTTAATAACAGTGTAACCATTGAAGGAATCTAACTACTCCCCGAGGTTTTGTCACCCCAGCGGCGGTTCCATAAAAAGAGACATATGAGCAGGCCCGGATTGAGCCGGCGGGCTACCGGGCAAAACCCGGTGGGCCGTTAGAAATTCGAAAGATTTGGGCCGGTTTGATGATATTTTGAATCAGTGGAAATATCTTATCCATATAGTTTATTTTACATCAAAAGACAAAAATGTGATTCTAAAATGTAAATATGTAATCTATGATAAAAATCGTTATCTTGATATAATGACAGCTATAAGCTAATAAAAAAACATAATACAGTGGAACCTCGATAACTCGAACTTCTATAAGTCGAATTTTCGATAACTCGAATTTTTTTTTCGCCCCCAACCGATTCGAGTTATCGAGGTTCCACTGTACCTAATGTTTAAATGTTTGATTTAAAATTAGAGAAAGAAATAGTAGTACTTGTATTTACATTAAGGGTCTATAAATTAAATCTTGTTATATACTAATAAAATTTGATAGGTTAAGAAAAAAATTGTTTAGGAACTTGGGCCGGTCTAGGTGGACAGCCCGGTAAGTAATTTCTTCCCAATCCGGTGCTGCATATGAGGCGAAATCACAGAATAACAACGAAATCGTCGACCATGGCGACCGCAATTTAATATTGTTGTTAATAAGACAGAGGACAATGACGTGGATATTGTAGGTAGGTATGTCTTTCGAATGCGGTGTTGTGGATGTGGACTTGTAGAGTTCACGAAATGGTCTGAAGTAATTAGTAGATATTTGTATTTTTTACTGCGACCAAACATTTTTGAAAGTAAGAGTAGACCACATGAGTCCTGATTTACTAATCGGACGACATTTTTTTTTTGTCTATCCACATTTCCTTTCAAGCTTCGTATAGCTCTGAAGTCCTATGCAATAACTGAAAACAATAGAAGGCCACTTTTATATGACATTATATTCATAGACATATATACAATCATACAAATATAAAAAAATAAAAAAAATAATTATTTTTTTATACAGTTTACTTGTGTATTTATACAAGATGTACTTAATATACTGCATACAACTGTTTACTACCACACCCATCAGCAATCGGTGATACAATTATCAACACTCAACAGTAAAGTGTTATAATTAAAGTTTATAAATTGTTTAACTATGATGACTTATTTTAATGGTTGTAATAATAATAATTTTTAAAGTAATAACGAGTGTCCAATGATTTAAAATTTTAATTATGCTACGAAGCTTTTTACAATTTGTTATAACTTATAATGTCTCCAAATTAAATAATGTATTTTTTATTTATTTATTTATTTATGTATTAAAATTTTACGTCAAAACGATTTACTTATTGTACACTAATTGTATAGATTGTAAATAAATAATAAATGATTTTAAAATAAAATAAAAAAAATATAAAAAAAAATAGTTATTGCCAACTTACATGCGTTTATAAAGAAATTTTTTTTTTAAATCTTGTATTTTAAAATAATGTCTTATACACTGGCATTTGTTAGCTTACGAAAAATGAAAATATTTTTATTTGTATATAATCGCTATTGGTTACAGAAAATAAAATAATTATTACTTACAATGATTGGATATAATATTAGAATCATATTTTATATCTGATCAAAACAACTTAAAAACTGTGTTGAAAATCTATGCAGCTTACAATTTTACATTTAATGAACTTTAAGAAATTATTAATTGACGGGTAATTTGTTACAGACAACATCATGCGAGATCAGCTAGTTTATTATAATAAATTATTTATGTATTATATGTTTAACGGCAGAGTATTAGACGTGTACACGTGTAATACTGTAATTATTCCATTGCAGCAAAATTTTATGCTACATCACATCCACATTCTTGTCGAGGCGACGCGAGCACAATAATGTGCATGTGGTATCATATTGCAGATTTTTTTCTTAAGTTGAATCTAATCTATAGACATTTTTTTGTAATATTTTTGATTTTTTTAACGTATGCTTATTATAATAAAACTTTATGTCTAAAACCGAACTGTATAAAGAATTGGTGTTTGAATATTTCGTATACAAAATATAAAATATATAATAAATAAAAAATATATATCTTTTTACGAAATTCCTAGTGTACTAGGAAAATACTTGCCTATGATGTATAAACAGTAAAATGCAAGAACACTGTAATTAAATTGGATTTATGGCCGTGAAATAGAAAATTTACTGGGAAAATTATGTATCCAGAAACAGAATTGAATGCCCGACGTATATCACTTATATAGATATATACGTATATATATATATATATATCTATAACGTATATCTATATTTATATATCTATAACGTATATCACTTATATCACTTATATCACGTATATCACGTATATCACGTTTATCACTCATCATCGTTATATGAGTGAATCGCTGATGTCTATAGACAAGTATGTATACATACTTGTTTGCTTCGTGTCCTCGTGGTGAATTTATGAATTATAATTTTTTTGGACACAGATTATATTAGGTAGATACGCACATTTTTTTCGTAATATTATCATAATAAAAAAGCAATGCGGACTACAGAATACGATACGAATTTACTGGGCCCACCGCGGACAATGAAAGTGACAGAAATTCGATTGTTTTTAGCAATATAACACTCGTTATTTTGTAAATATGGTGACTTAAATTTTGAACACTTTAACACTTATGATATTCCTTTTCTCTGAAAAATACGTTAAATGAATACAACATATAATGGAGACCGCCAGCAACCGGTTTAGGCGGCTCCCTTTTTCCATAAGTGATTAAAATAAATTTTTTTTAAATTGACTTTTTGCGAATAAAAAGCACGCAATTCCAGTGATCATACAAGTCTAGTTTTAAAAATGTACACGAAAATCCTTAAACTGAGTATAGCACATATTTTTAAATTAAAACAAAACAATAAACATCATTATTTTTTATTTAAGTATCTAATTTTGTTAAAATTTATATATTCATAACTTTTTGTGTTTGTATAGGTAAGGGTAGGTATAAGAGCCTTATATTTTATTTTAAAATCAAAAGGAGCCTTTTACCCAAAAAAGTTGAAAACCAATGGCTTATACTATAAAGATTTATACTAACATTTTAATTAAATATCATTTATAAGTTATAACTTGTAACAATATTTAAACAAAAGCTTCGTAAACACGTTTCGTGTAAAAAAAAACATAAATATATAAGCTCTTAATTTATAACATTTAAGTGTGTATAGGTACTTTTCACACAATATACAAATAGCTAATCGAAATATAATAATATAATAGTAATAATATGAAAGTATCCAGATAAACAATTAAGTATTAATTCAAGTTTGACGAATGTTAAGTAAAATATTTAATTAAAATTTTAAATGTTATAACTTATAAGTTATGAGAAAAATTTGTGTAAACTTGCAAACATCATTATACATTATCCAACCAACTGAACCAACTGTAAAATAACTTCATCGAAAAAATAATTTAGCATACGACCTATTTAAGACTAATACTGTAAATGTTTAAATAATGTATTGTGTATGGTAATGAATAGGGCTAGGATTTATATACAACAGTGCAACAGCATGTTTTTTTTGCGACTTCTGGTTATTGATTTTATCAGTAATGTCCGCGAATCACCTCAATACCTCATGATGAGATAGATGGTGGTGTTTTTATTTTACATCTTTTTGCATATTTTGGATAAAATGCATGATATTGCATATATGGAATAAAATTAATATTATTGCATATTTCGATTATAATAATGCGAAAAATGTATGTTTCATAGTATATTTTGTATTTAATTCTAATTAAAGTATAAAACTTGGTTTTTTTGTCAAACATAGATTTTATTTTTATGAATATAATCCTGCGGTACAATAAGTACGCGATAAAAGATTGAATAGATTGACGGAGAAAGATAAACACAATTAATAAAAGTATGAACGTCAATATGAAAGGACGGTGGTAAACTCTCCCGATTTTGAAAAATAATAAACTCTCCCGGGTTAATATTATGTTTACCTGAAGTAAATGTGTAAACTCTCCCGGGTCAACTTTATAGTTACCTGTAGGAAGTATGTAAGCTCTCCCGAGTTGTTTTAAATTTTATTGCTACACTATACGAGTTATCTGTATGTTCTTATTATCAATAATAATGATTTTAACGTTTTTACGTATATTTTGTATTTGTAACTTATATTATTATTATTATTATTAACTATTTTTAAAAGAAACTTAAATGTATATTGGAATTTTTTGAAATTTTATTTTTTATTGTATTTTGACTTTAATATCATGTTCATAGCAGCTAAAGACATTAATTTATATTGTTATTATTATATATGATTGACTATTTTTAAACGCAACTTAAATGTATATTAAATTTATTTTATGATGTTTACTAGACCCAGGAGAGTTTACATGTTTCCGTTAGATAGTACAGGAATAAATCCGGAAGAGTTTACACTTTTCCGTCAGATAGTACTGGAGTAGACCCGGGAGAGTATACAATCGGGAGAGTTTACCATCAGGAGAGTTTATAATCGCCCATAAAATATAATTTGTCGGGTACATATTACTTATTAGTGTATTACACACATATCCTACGTAGTACAGACCGTTCAGCTATCCATACATCACCGTTTATTATAGACTATTTTTAATATAATCATTTATTATATATTTATATGTTTGTTGTGATTGTCGAAACTAGTGGTTCAAATCAAGTAGCTTAATAAATAAAAAAAAAAAAGTCTTATAAAAATTTAAATGCATATTTTTGCATATTTTAATAAATAAAATACATATTTTACAAATTTTTATTGCATACAAATTCTAGCCTTGATAATGAATAATTTAATGACTTTATTTTTTAAATGAAAATAGTAATACCCGCATGCTTTTGATATTGGAACTAGTCTATCTACCAAGTACCTACCAACTACCAGAGGTCATGCAGATTACTGATAACTTTGAATAGAAGATGGTTTTAGAGAAATTATAGCCTATGTTTAGCAAAATTTAAGTGTATAAATATGTATAACCAATGATACGGTGAACGAGTAAAATAAGAAGTTCAAAATTTACACGAAAAAAAAAAATTAAAAATTAAAAAAAATAATAAAATGGGTACATTAATATTAATACATAACGATTAATAAATAAAATAAATATTAAATCATCAATGTCTTAATTACAAGATACATACAATAGTTCTGACAATATTAATTAGGAACTGCCGTTGTTTGTGTCTATGAAGTATTTTTATAACAAGCTAAAGAATAGATTTGTTCTGAAACTATTGCATTTACTTTAGAAAACGTCAATGTTTCTTGTCTTTTGATAGTTGATAGAAATAATAGCTAACTATACATTTTAAACAAGATATTTATAAGATGAGAGTTTTGTGTAATTTTCCTCACCACCTTTAATTGTCAAACGACATATAAATATATCGTCAGTGATGTTTGTGAGGTATTACACGAGGCGCGTTTTTTTATTGTGGTATCCCCAGTAGGCCTAATCCACATCGTAAGTGAAAACGTGCGAACGTCGATCGACTATGATGATTGATGTAGAGTCAAATTTGTAACTGCACTTGTTCGTGTATAAAATGTACAGTAGCGTATTTACAAGGGAATGGGGAGGGGGAAATCTCCTCTGGTCTTTTTTTTTTACTGTTTTCGTTTTACATATAAATTTTTATATTTATGGTTTTCTCTGTTTTATAAAAAATTAATTATGATTTATGTATAACTAATAAATATTAATTGTATAAATTAATAATAAATAATTAATAATAAATTAAAATTTTTTAATTGTATAAATCATCAAAACCAAATAATACGCTATTCCCTTATTTTTCAATTAAAAATATTCGCGTTAATGAGGTAA